CTCTTATCATTTTGGTTGATCTTCTCTGCCCTTTTTCTACTGTCACAGCATCATTTTTTTTTGTATCATGGCAACTGGACCTGGATGCAGTATTCCAAGTGTGGCATCACTACTGCAGCATAGAGCGGTACTATGACTTCACCTGGTGCTGATACCTGAGCCGAGGTGGCGCAGCACTTAGAGTGCAGTACTGCAGGCCACTTTAGCTGACTGTGTTCAGCAGGTCAGCGGTTCAAATCTCACCGGCTCAAGGTTGACTCAGCCTTCCATCCTTCCGGGGTAGGTAAAATGAGGACCCAGATTGTTGGGGGCAATGTAAATATATATACATTGCTTACTGGTGTACACCGCTTAGAGAGTGCTTGCACTTAAAGCGGTATATAAGTCTCATAAATAAATAAATAAATACTATCCTTCTGTTGATGCAACCTAGGACTGCATTTGCTTTTTTGGCAGCTGAAGCACACTGCTGGCTCATATTTTTAAGTAATGGTTTACTAGGACACTTAGTTCCTCTCACAGTTACTACTGTTGAGCCAAGTATTGCCTATTCTATACCTGTGCGTTTGGCTTTTCCTGCCTAAATATCTTACTTTTCTCACCACTGAACTGCATCTTATTGGATAAGGCCCATTGCTCTAGATCAGTGGTTCTCAACCTGTGGGTCGGGACCCCATTTGGAGTCGAACAACCATTTCACGGGGGTCGCCAAACAATGCAGTCTGCCATTTTCCCCCCTTTTCCTTAGCTGTGCTACTCCCTTTTATTCCATTGGCTTTTGAAAGCCAATAGAATAGACTCTCTTGAATAGTCTAATTCTATTGGCTTTCAAAAGCCAATAGAAATTGTCCAGGCTGTCTCTGCCCTGCTGAGCCCGCCAAAAGTCCCATTCTGCAAACGGTGCTGCACCAGTTTAGTCCTCAACTTACGACAGGTTGGGGGTCGAGGCATTAAAAAGGTTGAGAACCATTGCTCTAGATTGTCAAGATCTTTCTGAATCTTGAGTCTATCTTCCAGAAATATTAACAGTTCCCCTCAGCTTGGTGTCGTCTGCAAATTTAATGATTTTGCCTTTTATCCCCTCATCTAGATTGTTAATGAAGATGTTGAAGAGTACTGGAGATACAACCTTGAGGTACCCCACTGCATGCGTCCCTTCAGAGATGTAATTCCATTGAGAACCGCTGGGTGAGATCATTCGGCAACACGGGGTGAGGTATCATCAGTACGCGGATGATACCCAATTGTATATCTCCACCCCGTGTCCTTTCAGTGAAGCAGTCGACGTGATGTGCCTGGTGCCTGGAAGATGTGAGGGTCTGGATGGGGGTGAACAGGCTTAGACTCAACCCTGACAAGACCGAGTGGCTCTGGGTCTTGCCTCCCAAAGGCCAACTGGATGGTCCATCTTTAGTCCTGGGGGGGGGCAAATTTACCTCCCTCAGTGCAGGCACGCAACTTGGGTGTCCTCCTGGACTCACAGCTAAATCTGGAACAACATCTATCGGCTGTGGCCAGGGGGACCTTTGCACAGGTTTGCCTAGTGCACCAGTTGCGGCCTTATTTGGACCGGGAGGCTTTACTCACAGTCACTCATGCCCTTGTCACCTCAAGACTGGATTACTGTAATGCGCTCTACATGGGGCTACCCTTGAAGAGCGTTCAGAGGCTGCAGTTGGTTCAGAACGCGGCCGCGAGAGCGATTGTGGGCGCGCCAAGGTACGCCCACGTGTCACCTATCCTCCGCGAGCTGCACTGGCTACCTGTGGGTCTCCGGACGCAATTCAAGGTGTTGGTTATCACCTTTAAAGCCCTTCATGGCATAGGGCCAGGTTACTTACAGGACCGCATTCTGCCGCACAGTTCCCAGAGACCGGTGAGGTCCCATAGATTGGGCCTCCTTCAGGTCCCGTCGGCCAGACAATGTCGGCTGGCGGGCCCTCGGGGAAGGGCCTTTTCTGTGATGGCTCCGACCTGGTGGAATCAACTTCCCCCCAAGGTTCGAACTACTCCCACCCTGCCGGCCTTTAAGAAGGCCGTTAAAACCCTCCTGTTCCGGCAGGCCTGGGGCTGATGTCCCCGGGGGGCCGGGATATGATCGGACTCGCGGTATGACTGTTTTATTTTATTGTTTTATCATTGTTTTAACTTGTACGCCGCCCTGAGTCCTTTGGGATTGGGCGGCATATAAATACTATAATAAATAAATAAATAAATAAATAATAAAGAACTACATGGTGAATGCAAATCCTTCTGGTGGCGTTACTGCCTATCCCACATTGTTCTCTCTTACCAAGAAGCCTGCTGTGGTCTACTTTATCTAATGCCTTACTGAAGTCTAAATATACCATATCCCCAGTGTTTCCTTGATCTATTAGTTGAGTCATTTTATCTTAGAAGAAGATAAAGATTTGTTTGCCATGATCTGCTTTTAACAAACTCATCCTGGCTTCTAGGAATCCTCTTATTGTTTCTAAGTGCTCACAAATCTGCTGCTTGAATCTTTCCCATGATTTCCCCAGATATTGACATCAAGCTGATTGGTCAGTAGTTTCCTGAATTCACTTTTTTTCTCCTTTTGAAGATTGGCACTACATCAGCTCTTTCCCGGTCCTCTGGCCATTTCCCCCATGCTCCACTGATGTCATTCAGTGGTTCCAAGATCACATCTGCTGGGATATAAACCATCTAGTCCCAGCAATTTGTACTCATCCAAGACGAATAGGTATTTTCTTATCGATTCCTTGCCCATTTTGACTTGCACTCCTGTTCTACCACCACAATGCTGGTTTTGATAGGTTGGGCTATTTCTTCCTTTTGCATAAATTCAGATGCAAAAGAGTTAAGCAGATATGCTTGCTTCCTGCTGCCTGCCACTTTCTCCCATTAGTGGACCTATCATTTCCTTGACTTTCTTCTTGTTCTTTACATATTGAAACTTTTTCTGGTTTTTTTTTTTTTTTTTTTTTTTGCATTTGTTCCCAGTCTTAGTTTATTCTGAGCCATAGCCTTCCTGACTCCCTCCTTGCAGATTTGGGCTATTTGCTGGTATTCTGTTATATGCCCTTCTTTCCATTATTTATACTTGTCTTTTTTGTCCCTCAGCTTGTCAGAGAGTTCTTTGTTCAATCATGCTGGTTTCATCTCTTATTTTTCTTACTCTGTGGGGTTTTTTTGTGGGGGAGGGTGGACAGTATTATTTCATTTTTCAGTTTCCCAATTATCTTGTTTTTCTCTCTAGAATTTTGATCCACGGAATCCTTCCTAGTCTCTCTCTCCTACTTTGTTTGAGTCAGCTCTCTTAAAAGTCTAAAACACTGGTCTGTGGCTGCACTATCACGAATTCACGTGGCCACACTCCTCCAAAGTTCCTATAACTTCTACTCCCCCAACCATTCCATCCCTATTAGTAAGAATTAAGTCCAGTATAGCTGACCCTGCAGTTCCCTCCTCTATCATCGACAAAGTTGTCAGCTAGGCAAGTCAGAAGAAATGGCATATCTGTTAATTTGTATCCAATAAATGATCGAAAAGTCAATTTTTCAGAATTTTGTAGTTGAGTTACATCATCTTTATAAACTGTTTGAATGAAGATAAAATATTGGTATGTCCACATCTGATAAACATTCACATGGGGTGCACTTACATTTTACACATAATGGTAGTTACTTGGCCTGACAAATGATACATATCCAGAGGTAGAAATGGGGGGGGGACTCCAACTATTCCTCTGGAAGGGAAATGCCAATAGTTTTAATTTAACTATTTTTAAGAAGCTGCAAGAGAGGAACTGCTCAGAATCCCTAAGATGGAAATCAGAATAGGGCCTTAGGAAAGGAGGAAGAGAAGGAACTCTAAAAGATCTGAAAATATTGAAATGATGGGATATAGATAGATATTTCTATATATTTGCCTACAATTGAGCACATCAGGTGCTGCTGATATGACTCATTGAAGAATTTGCTTCCCATGGGCAAAAGCCTGTGTAAATAAGCTGAGCTTATAACGAAATACTTACAATCTCTGGTCAGTCTGAAAGTGTCACAAATGTTCTTATGCAAACACCACATGCACACCAAATGATATTTCCACCTCCCTCCCGGCCTTTGGTGGGAAAAACAGGAATCCTCAGAAGATAAGATCTGGCATTGGATGTCCCAAGATCAAAAGTAGAGGTGATTCTGCACTCTTAACATAACCCAGCATAGTCCCTGGCCATTCCCTACTTCTAGTTCCCCCCCCCCAACCATTGTGGAGTGACCCCAAAAGCAGTCTCCTTATTGTTACAATGGCACAGAAATGGCTGCAGGACTCGGGGACCAGCTAGAACAGTGGTTCTCAACCTGTGGGTTGGGACCCCATTTGGGGTCAAATGACCATTTCACAGGGGTCGCCAAACAATGCAGTCCGCCATTTTCCCCCCCTTTTCCTTAGCTGTGCTACTCCCTTTTATTCTATTGGCTTTTGAAAGGTGGTGGGTGGCCATGTGGGCAGGAGACATGGGGATGGGCAGGGAGGAGGCGGTTTGGGGGCACTCGGTCTCTAAAAGGTTCACCATCACTGGTGTAGGGTCTCCTGCTTCGGCGTGGGGTTGGAGTAGATGACCTCCAAGGTCCCTTCCTATTCAATTCAATTCAATTCTAATTCCATATTCTATTCTATTCTATTCCTAATTCTAATTCTAAACTCGGGGGAGCGCACCTGGCTCGGGCGCCGCCCCCCCTTCCCCGGGATTCCAGCAAAGGCCGGGTGGCTGCAACAAATGCCCCCGGGGAAAGTGCTCGGGGAAGGCAGAGCAGGGGCTTCAGCCACGGCCCCTCTCCGGACACCGAGCGGAAGGAGCCTTCGCGCGCCTTCCACCGCCTCCCGTTCACCCCGGTCGCCGGAGAGGCGTGGCTGGGCAGCCGGCAGCTGAGCCGCAGGGCAGAAGCGCGGAGAAGAGTCGGGGACCGCACAGCCGTCCAACAGCAGATTGCGGGCAGCCAATGCCGAGGAGGCACCGGTGGCACCAAAGTTGCGCCAGCCAATCGCCGCCCTCCGCCTCACCCTCCGCCCCGCTGCAGCGTCACCGGCTAGCAGCCCCCGGCAAGCGCTCGCCCGGCACGCGCGCCTTCCACTCCGCCGCCCCTTCTAGCCAAGGTCGCGGGAGAGCAGCCAGCCAGCAGCGGGTTACTGCAGGTCGTGGCCGGCAGTTTAAATTCCCGAGCGAGGGCTTGGCGGAGGAAGAGTGTTAAGCGCAGGTTCCAGAGCGAGCATCCGAGGACCCGAAGGGCGAGCTGAAAAAGCCGCCCGTGTCGCTGCCGTTCCGGGCGAAGGAGCTTCACCTGCGCCGTCGCAGTTTTTGCAGGAGGAGGTATGCCTTCCCTTCGGAGCTTAGCCGGCGAGGGAGCCCCCTCTCTCCGCGCCCAGCCCGGAGGAGGAGGAGGAGGAGTGGGACTGCACCACAGGATGCCCTTGCGCGTCCTGGAGCCTTCCAGAAAACAGCGCCCCCCGACTCCCCCGCAGGCCGCGTGTGTGTGTGTGTGTGTGTGTGTGTGTGTGTGTGTGTGTGTGTGTCCCTTTGAGACCCCCTCCCCTAGCGAGCATCCTTTACCAACTGGGCTTTGCTTTCGCAGTGGCCGGGAAAAGGCGCCTGGCTCCCCGGAGGTGAATCCACGCCGCAGTGGGGAGGGGGCTCCCCCGGGCCGATCTGACGCTATTGCTGGGAGGGGGAGTGCGTGCGCGCGCGGGGGGGGGTGGGCTGGCGGGAGGGTGGGGTGGGGGATAGGCAAGCACTGGACCTCTTTTTTGGGAAGCTGCAAGCAATGAGCCCCCCGCCCTTGAGGGGAGGGCTGCCCCGCGAGGATGCTCCTGGGGTCGGGGCTTTCATGGCGCATCACCCTGCGCTTTATCATAGCGTTTTACTACCAGCAGGGGGTTCAGACAGCGGCTCAGTCTCCCTATTTTTCCCACCTATGCCCCGGCAGTTTGCAAAGAGGGAACCAGCCACCTTGGATTTCTGAAATGGCGCAGCTGGGAAGCACTCCGAGGTCGCCAGCCCCGCACCCAGCAGAGAGAATTCCACACCCACAACATTCTCAAAAGACTTGCCTTGTGCCGTGGTAGCTACAAGGCTGTTGAGGGGTTCAGGTGTCACTCGTTTAAATCTCGTTTCCCCACCAGCTCTTCCATTTTGTTACCGGAGAAGCCGCCGGTTGTGTCTAATTGAGTTGATAGGCTAGAAGCCTCCTCTCCAAATGTACTTAGCAGCTTCACTGCAGTTTTTAATGGCTGAGGAAACACCCCCCCCCATTATCTTAGACTAGAATCTTTCTTATAATTAAAGTAAGACCCTGTGAATTAACCATCATTTAAATCTAAGTCAGGGGTTCTCAACCTTGGCAACTTTAAGACGTGTGGACTTCAATTCCCAGAATTCCTCAGCCAGCTGAGGAATTCTGGGAATTGAAGTCCACACGTCTTAAAGTTGCCAAGGTTGAGAACCCATGAATTCTAAGTCAAACTTGAGAAGCTAAGTTCCTTCTGGTTGACATTCCTGGGCCAAAGAGAAGCAGGCAAAAGTAAAGGGGTGCCAATGTTGCTCATATCCACAGCCTAACAACTGTGTCCCCTGAACTGCTGCCTAACCTTTTTGCCTGGCCTTTTGAGGCTTTGGCCTAGTCCTGTTACATTTTCTGAGAGGGGAGAGCAGCCTGTTCACCTGGTAGGCCTGGTAGACTTTTTTTGGCCATGCCCAGCACTGGCACCAGCTTTCCTGAGCTGAAGGAGGCCTCAGGGCAAAAAAGGATCCAGTCTTAATTTTTGAACTGTAATTACATAGCATTACTCATCCTTTCTGAATAACAGCACTTCACTATCTCTTAAAGATGAACGCTGTTTCCAAAAGCATTGAACATAATTTAGTGTATTAGTTTTATATTTTTGATATGGTCAAATGACTAAATCAATAAAGTTTCTATCCTATTCAGTACAATAGTACAATCGTATATATATAATCATAAGACCTATTGAATTCCATGGGGCTTCCCTCCAGATAAATGTGTAGGCTGGAGCGTTTAAAACTGGCAATTTTAAGATGTGCGGACCTCAACTCCCAGCATGCTGGCTGAGGAATTCTGGGAATTGAAGTCCCTATATCTTAAAGTTGCTAAGTTTGAAAAGCACTGGTTTAAAGGATTGTAGTCCTGATTAATTCAAATTTAATTTCCCTTTACATATAATATCTTACATTTTCTCCTCCTTCTTGTGCCATATCCGTTATCGGACGTTGGCGATCATGTTGGCGATCCTGTTTTTATCAGCAGCTGCACGAAAAAGTGCTGCTGAGTTTTGTCCAAACCAATCCCTTAGATTTTGAAGCCATGATGTTCTTCTTCTGCCAGGACCTCATTTGCCTTCAATCTTTCCCTGGAGGATTAAATGGAGTATGCCGTATTTTTCTGGGTGTTGCATCACATGTCCGAAATATTCTAATTTTTGTTTTTTAATTGTTTTGATGATTTCCCTTGGTTTTCCCAGGCGGCTTATCACCTCCTCATTTCTGATCTTGTCAACCCAGCTTATTTTCTTCGGTGTTGTTAAAATAAAACCAACCTAAATACAACCTTTCTGATTTTCCACCTGCAAAGAATTCTGATTCTTCCTTTGGATGGAAATAGTTTTAACTATATTTTTAACTTAAAGCTGAGAGATTAATGCTTGTTTTTGTTTTCTTCCAGCCAGTTTGGGGAGTGTCCTTAATGCAATCTAACATCCCTTTTCTGCTTGATAGGACCAATAAGACCAATAGTAATTTCTGCATCTCATCTCAATACCTAACAATTATGTGAGAAGAGATATTATTTCTCATATTCATTCATCCATTTTCAATCTCAATGACTCTGAGTGGCTTATGGCAGCATTCTTCCAGGGTCAGCTGTTCACAAGCAAGTTAATTATTTTTTTTCAACCCCCCCCCCCACTCTTGTCTGTTTTGGAGTGAGGTATCAAGGATAAGAATAAAAATAATAAAGAAGTACAGTATACTGAGGTTTCTCTAGTCAGGTGATAAAAGAGGACATCTTGTGTTCAACACCTAGTGACTTCATAAGCACATTTGTGGAATCTGTTAGTATTTTCTTTGACTTAATGTCTATGGAAATTCTCAGTCATCCACATCATGGTTGTCGAAAAGGTGCTTTTTCCAAAAGGCAACTTTTTCCATTGAAAAGGTTAGAACTGAAGAAGCTTGTTGAAACAAAATGTTTTCAAAGAAAAAAACAAAGTCCAGTTGCCTTTTGGAAAAAGCACCTCTGGGATGTTCTTTGGCTTGTTTTTCTCCTTTCTTATCTGGCTTGATTCTAATTAAGTGCCATCAAGTTGATATCCGCTGTTAGCAAATACATAGACTTTCGCCAGGATGATCTGTTTGCATCATAGCCCTTCAGATCTTCCAATTATACAACCATCACTGCTTTATAAGTCCATCCATCTTAGTGCTGCTCTTCCTGAAAATCACGGTAGTTCCCAGCCATGTTTTTATCATTTTATAAACCCAGACCCAGCTCAACTTGTGAATATCAACTAAGCCTAGTAAATACAACTGGCCAACCAGTAATACACCTACTTAAATTAGAAGGAGGCCGATGTATATTACTGAGGATATACCATTTGAATTTCTTTGCACACAACTTTAATAAATAAAACTACAATGTGACCCAGAAGAAAATTGCATTGATTTCAATGGGATCTGCTTCTTCAGTTTCTTTATGCCTTAGATTGGATTTGTGTTATGCCTGTTAAGAAGCAAACCTGGACTTAAAATATTGTGTTTCACATTCAGATTGCCTTTGGATATTTAGCTGCTACAGATTTATGCTGTATACCCATTCTGCGTACATCACCTGAAGACCTATATTGTCATTTGAAAACTTGCATTCTGCCTTCTAGTGCAGGGGTTTTCAAACTCAGCGCTTTTATGACTCATGGACTTGAACTTCTAGAATTCCTCAGCCAGGCACACTGGCTGAGGAATTCTGCGAGTTGAAGTCCATGAGTCATAAAAGGGCTGAGTTTGAAGACCCCTGTTCTAGTGCGTATAATTAATTAATTATATAAATGTATATGCCACCATCTTATTGTCTAGTGTCTATATATATGTATGTATGTATGTATGTATGTATGTATGTATGTATGTATGTACCAAATAAGTGAAATGCATAGGAACGATATATATATATATATATATATATATATATATATATATATATATATATATATATATATATATATATGTTATTGTTATTGGGTTTTGGTCAACACGGGACTTTGTATGTAACTTTGTTTTCTTTATTTGCCAGGTTGCTGCAGACCTTTCTACCATGCCTGCCTTTACTCACATTACCCAGAATGCTGTAGCTCATTCAGAAAAAATCCATCCCACCTTTGAGCAAATGGGGTCAGAACGAGAGATGAAAGATGACATTTTTGACACGACTTATCGTGAGAAAGAGGGTCCTAAGCCTGCACTAAGATACGTCTGGAGGAACATTATTCTCATGTCTCTTCTCCATCTGACTGCTGTGTATGCCATCTGGTTCATACCTTCTGCAAAGCTACTCACTTTGGCGTGGGGTAAGCCAAAACTGCCCAAAGTTTACCTTGGAAAGGAGAGTCACAGAATCACAGGCCTCTAAGGGAGCTTGGAGGTCTAGTCCAGGGGTAGGCAACCTTGCTCTTTTATGACTCGTGGACTTCAACTCCCAGAATTCCTGAGCCAGCTATGCTTTTAGACAAGCTATGCTGGCTCAGGAATTCTGGGAGTTGAAGTCCACGAGTCATAAAACAGCCAAGGTTGCCTACCCCTGGTCTAGTCCATTCCCCAACCCAAGGCAGGAGTTGTCCAATCCTGGACAAATTGTTGTCTAAAAATAGTTATTTGGGTCAACTTATTGTCTTTGCTCCATAGGCTTCTGCTGTTTTCAGTTAGTTACTTTCCTCTCGTCTGAGCTTTGAACGTCTCCCCAATACCCAGTCACATCCATCTGAATTCAGAAACACACTGTTCTAGGCAGCTACATGAATGCTCTGAGTTCAAAAACATATACAACTTTGTAAGAAATACTCAGTGCTTTAGAATGTCATTGGATTTTGCTCTGTGCAAGAGAACTAGGTCTGCTATGTAGTATTTAAGAATGGGACCTTGAATAATGTCTGCTGATCAATATGGATCATAGCATAGACTACTGTTTCCCCATACTCCTTGAGATAATGTTATCAACATCTGGAGGGCCCTAAGCATAGTCAACAACCAAGCGGATGGATCCAGTGATTTAATTCATATTTCCTTTAGGATTCACAGAGAGAAATCAGGCACTTCAGAATAGAATACTCGGGGATAATTCTGGGAAATATCCAGCATTTTTCCTAGGATAACAAAGGTAGTTAAATGATGAATGAAATACTGTTTCCCAGATGATAAATCATTCCTAAGTTCTTCAGAAGATGGTCAGAGAGTAAAATATTTATATGTTTGTGCTTTGCCTTTTAGGAATAATTTTTGAAAATCTGCTCCCTAAAATGTCTCAATGGAGAAGTGTTTTGTCCAAGTTTTATAAAGTTGTGATGGTTGAGGGAAAGTGTAATAAGACAGAAAAGATTTGCTGTCTATGATGTGCTTCTCCACTCAGAGTTTTGTGCTCCATGTTTTCAGAGGGCAGTTTTTAAACGACTTAATGTTGTTTGGAGGTTGTCTAAAATGCAAGTGTGTTTGTGTTTATGGTGTTTACCACTAGTGAGATGTGCAGTCTCCCAAGAGTCTGGAGTGTAGGTGGCATACAAATATTTATATAAATAAGTGCATAACTACATATGAAGATGGTAATAATACATACATTTTTCATTTTATATCTAGCAGCTTAACATGCCATATAATCAACAGGCAAATAGTAAAAATAACCAGTAGTACAGATTAATTTATTCAAATTTAAAAGAGGATAGCTAAGGAGGGAATGTGTTGGCTCTTTGTCTAAAAGCAGAAGGAGAAGGGGTATAAGAGCATCTCCTGATGAAAGCCACTCCAGATGGAAGAGGTATAAGCCACTTGAGATGGAGTTGAAGAAAATCTCCAGGGCTTTTTGAGCCCCCACCCCCACTTTTTCATTATGTCCTCTCAAGATCAAAGTACGTGGAGAGTGGTGGGGGTGCATTGGATAGGAGTGAATAGCACATGAAGCAACTCCAGAAATTCCATCTAGCCAAGTGTTTGAACAATTTGCACAAAAGCCAATTCAAACTCAGAAATGAATTTACTTGAGAAGTAGAAATTAAAAGAGTCACAGTGGTATAGAATATCTTAATTACAACTTTCTTTGACTCCATGTAACATTCTAAATACAGGGCTAGATAGATAGACAAAGCCACATCACAGCCTATCTGTTTTCACCTTTATAATTTTTATCACTGGCAAGAACAATTGAACATTCAGTTAAGGCTGTTTTTTCTCTCCCCGCCCCCTTTGGCTGCTCCAAGTCTGAGCTTTGTTGACATGCATTAAAAACCGTCAGCAGAGACTCATAGTCATAACTGTATCCATGGAAAATGACTCTGTGGTTTGAATATTTGAAACCTGAACATTTCTGATCAAGAGGCAATCCAGACGACCAACAGTTTGGCAATCCTATTCTTGACTTCCTTCTGAGAGCCACATGGATCCAGAAACTTAATAATAATAATAATAATAATAATAATGTTGGAAGGGACCTTGGAGGTCATCGAGTCCAACCCCCTGCTCAGGCAGGAAACCTTATACCATTTCAGACAAATGGCTGTCCAGTCTCTTCTTAAAATCTTGCAGTGTTGGAGCATTCACCGCTTCTGGAGGCAGGTTGTTCCACTGGTTAATTGTTCTGTCAGGAAGTTTCTCCTTAGTTCTAGGTTGCTTCTCTGCTTGGTTAGTTTCCATCCTTTGCTTCTCGTCCTGCCTTCAGGCGCCTTGGAGAATAGCTTGACTCCCTCTTCTTTGTGGGAGCCCCTGAGATATTGGAACATTGCTATCATGTCCCCCCTCGTAAGTGGCCAAAGCTGGAATTTTCCATTACTTGGTAAAAGTAAAGATTGGGAGAAGGAAACTATATTGAAAAAATTCACAGAGAAATGGAAGTAACTTAGAAGGTGCTGAAAGTGGAAGAGGCTGCATTTGGGGGTGTCTTAACAAGGAACGAGATCAGAGGGAGGGGGGAGTGGCGAACTAGAGAGCATTGAACTCACCTGGCAGAAAGAAGGCAACATCAGAACAGGAGTGTAATGCAGAGGCTGGCAGGCATTACAAGGACAGGGACAAAGCATGTTATGTTTTCAATGTGTGTATGGAATAGGAAGACAGACACATTGAGAGGAGAAACAAAATAAAAGAGAAAGGATGGATTGGAACAGGGGTCTTCAAACTTGGCCCTTTTATGACTTGTGGACTTCAGCTCCCAGAATTCCTCAGCCACGCTGGCTGAGGAATTCTGGGAGTTGAAGTCCACAAGTTCCAAAAGGGCCAAGTTTGAAGACCCCTGGAATGGAAGGAATGGCCCTTGCCCACTGGAAGAAGAGGGAGATCTTGAGCAAAGGTTCCACCATTGTATCTTTGCTTTAGTTTGTAGACCTCAGCTCAGTATTCCAAACAGAGTCTTTTACTCTCCTGTTGGTTGTGCCCTGTGCAAACATACGGTAGTATCTATAGCAGGGGTTCTCAACCTTGGCAACTTTAAGACTTGTGGACTTCAACTCCCAGAATTGCTTTGCTTTGCTGGCTGAGGAATTCTGGGAGTTGAAGTCCACAAGTCTTAAAGTTGCCAAGGTTGAGAACCCCTGATCTATAGACTTCTCCTGAGACTTTATCTACATTTCCAGAATATCTATGCTTCCCTCCCTCTTGCCCCTAAAAAAATGTGGCTGATCCTCTGTTCCATTCTTTCTGATGTCTTCATCTGGGTTTAAGACTATAATGACCATATTTCATGGAAAAAATAAAAGGACAAACCTGAAAAAGTGGCAAATCTGAAGGAGGTTCACAAGGATAAAAAATGTGTTTTATAACTGGGCCTACAATTCAAGAGCAAAATCTAAAGGACAGCTTGCTGACTAAAGGGTTGCCCTTTATAATAAAGGATGTATAGTCACTGGAGCTAGCACTCCCAACTGAGCATCCATTACCTCTTCTTCCACTACAATAGCTGACCATTTCACTACACTGTAGTTGATGCAAAGTACAAAGAGTTTGACTGTGAAAACATACCACAAGATCTGGAGAATATTTGAAAGTTCAATATGGATTACTGGGAGGGAATCATGGCCAATATGCTCAGAATGGAATTTAAGGCAACCATTTTCTACTTAAAGGTTGCCTTCTAAGACATAGGCAAGGTTTGGGAATGATAGCCCAACCAAATGTTCCTCTTTTTATTTCCTATTCATTTATTTATGTGGCACTGCTTTTTTCCTCTAATGGAAACAAGTTGAGTACTTACAAAAGACCTTTTGTTCTGAACAAGATGCCAGTTCTAAGTCATTTCCCTGAGAAGATGTACCGCAAGGGTGACATCTGGTTCATGTTCAGAGTGCCATCATATAGATTGTCTCATTAAATGTTTCTTTTGGGAAGATAGAAGATATCCCAGTGGTATAGTTTCAGTTTATCAAGAGTGAATCTGAGAACACTCTAGGAAACTAGCTCTGGGAATATCCTATGCAATCACTGCTGGAGATAATGGCAAGCATAATCTCTTTTCCCGGAAGAGCTTTGAAAAGCAACCAAAATGGCTGTCATCAGTTCAGGTGTGTCTCCATATTACTCACATCCATATGCAGTTTGCCTTTGTCTTTGAGAATAATAAAGTAATGGAAGGGTAATATAGTCAGAGAATCTTTGTTTTGAAATGGAAAATCTGGCCACCTACTATTTTGCTTTGGAGTATCTCTCATCTAATTATTAGGTATTTTCTTGATGATAATCCTAAAGGGCCAATGGGATTTGAAGATAGCCTAGTTTTCTACACTTTCTCTCAGCCCCAGATGTATAAATGGCCCCTTTGTTACAGTGATTTTAGCACCGTGACTTGACAAATCATCTCAAATTATAATGTTATATGATTTTTTTAATTATAACCCACCATATGATATGTAAAACATCTACTTCCCCGGCCCACAATGAATGCTTTTAACAGCCATAGATAGTTGTATGTTGTTGACTACCTCGCCATCTTGGTTTTGTTGTTTACTTTTCTTGTTCTTTAGTTTTTAATTAATCATGTTATATATTATTGTTCGTTCCATTGCGAGTTGCCCAGAGTCAGGCAGTGCCCAATAAAATTAAAAATGTTCATGGTTTATTTTCTTTAGATTGCTTTTTCTTCTGTTGCTTTTATTTTAATACTTTGGTTATATTTTTTTATCATTTAAGATAACTGTAAATCATTTTGAATGATTTCCTGACAAAAGTGGAATACGCATTTTCTTATAAATAAAAAAGGCAATGTGCTTTGTGCTGCCTGTTGAATGTTAACTGGACAGTTACCTTAGCTAGACAACCTTTATAAACATCTAGCTTTAGGGTTATTTGCTTCCTAGGACTTGCAGAACTAGAACAC